TTGTTTCTTCAGGGGATTAAAAGACTATTTCTTTACAAAACGATTGTTTTAACTACATACGTTGAGATCAAATCCCCTCTTTATCCGTTGGAGAAAGAGGGGATTTGATTTTATAATATATTTATTATTAATCCCCAATTATGCGCACGTACACACAGAGACAGGGGTTAGAAGGTCATTAAAAGCAAATAGGTGCGTAAAAAGGGGAGGTGTCCTAAATTAATGGTTTTACTGCGTACATATTTTATAGATGCCCTCTAATCTTTTTTAGACTTGATTTCAATGGAGACAAATTCTAAAGCTTTGCCTTTAAGATACGAAAACCACGTATGATTGTTACAACATGAAATAATAAAGTTAACACTGTACATTATGTTGGATTTGATAAAGCAGTTTCTGAAGTTTTTTCTAGAGTTCTTACCAAAGTTATATATGGTGGAAGGGTTTATTAACTAAGTAGGATTAGTAGAATAACTATTTTATAGAAAAAACGTCTAAAAATAATTAAAGTTTTTGAGCAATAAAATTGTCTGACTAAATATGCTTAAATATTACTTCTTACATCTTGATTATTACTTCTTGCATCTTGATTATGCAAGTGAAAATGAGAAATGTTTCAATCTAGCGGCATTGTTTTTTTTTTTAAGATTTACATGAAATGATTTTTTACCAACTTGTACTACAATTTAAAAAGTTTGTTCTTAATTTAAGTTAAACTGTTCTAGTATTGAAAAAATATTTATGTTGATTATTTTTGAAAAACTACACACCAAAACATGTTCATACGATGCAACTTTTAAACAGATTTAAAAAAGCGTAGCACATAAGAATGAAGAACAATGAAGAATTTGCGCGTAGCACAAAATCTTCATTGTTCTAATAGCACAATCATATTACCAACAACAACTTTCTACGTACATTTTTAATTTAAACAACCTGGAAACTGATGAGGTTCATCTTTATCCCTAGATTGAGGCAATTCAAAAAAAATGTGCTAAGGATCAATGATAATGTATAATTTTAATGCAATAATTTTTAGGATAAAAATTATTACATTAAAATTATACATTATCATTGATCATTAGCACATTTTTTTTTGAACTTTAGAGATATATTAATATTTTACTTGAAATACTCATAAGCAGTTTACTATCCTAAAAATTATTACGATGGTAATGTAATAATTTTTAGGATAGTAAACTGCTTGTGAGTATTTCAAGTAAAATATTATATCTCTACAACTCGTTTTTATTATATTTTACGATGAGAAATAGCAGTCTTCAAATATTTGTAGCTGGATTATAGCGTTAAGAAAATCATTGGATATTTTTCAAGCTATTGCGACATTAACACACAAAAGGTATAAAAAACATATTGGGGAAAACGGGGTAACATAACGAAACTGTATTTGTATCTTGTATTTTAAAACACCAATTAGTTTTTTTGAATGTTATTAATGCAATTTTATACGCATAAGTTTACTTTTTGCGCTTAAAAAAAAATACCTTGGTTTCGGTTTCTCATAATGGATGATGTCCTCCAAGTGAAGCTTCTTTAGAAGGAAGTGTGTTTGTTTTGCGTTACTTTAGTTAGAGTTGTTGGTAGTTTTTAAAATAAGTCACGTGACTAGATGACAAATTTATAAACTATTTATTTTAATATTTATTTCAAATTGTTATATTTGCAAAAGGAAAATTCGTGCAGGCAAGGAATCATTTTAACAACATAAACATACTGAGAAAGTATTATTGCTTCATGACTGATAGTTTTGCAATAACTCAGGGCTTTCAAAACGTTCGTTATGTTGCTCCGCTTTCCTCAATATTTAAACATTAAGGTCGTCTAAAATATAATAGAAAAAAATCTGATAGAAAAACTGTTGTTCTCTAAGAGAATCATAATAGTATGCATATTGCATTAAGTCCCAGGCTTCTAATTGTAAAAACAAAGAAAAATAAAAAATCACGTAAAGAAACGGAGATGCCCAAAAGGAATAAAAAAAACCTCAAAAAATAACTTTACGGCAATACGCATAAATATAAGAAGAATAAATTAAAACAATGATGATCTAAAACAATTTCTTATTGAACGCCAATGTTTACTTTGTTTAGCATGAAACTCGGTGTTTTGATGAACCAACAAATATAAATTCAAATATAGAAATTCCTAATTATGAATTAAAATCATCGGAATGAAAAACTAACAAAAGGGTGGTATTATAACCAGGGTTGCCAGGTTTTTTTTCGGGCACAAGCCAAAAATGAAACAAAAATAAACCAGAAATAAACCAGACCAAAAAGAAAAAAAAGAAAAAATCATAATTTTTTGTTTTAAAGCCTTGTTTATAATATATATTTCGAAAAAATGCTTTTTTATCCAAAAATTTCATCCTTGAATATTAAAATTTAATTTGTAAGAGAGTAAGGGAAGAGGAGAAGAATGACTTAGTGAATGTTTAATGGGACGCCCGTCCAGCCTTCAAAGCGGCGTGGGGAAAGTAATTCACTCCTAAACACCTATACAAAATCCGACACTATCAACCTGTAAAATATATTAATTTTTTCGCTTGCATATGGATATAGATTTCTTTTCAAATCTTTGCAATAATTAACTTAATTATTTCAAAGTCCTAGTAAAAAATCTTTTGCCTTATTAAATATGATTTGATCCAAAAACTGCATGCAAGGCTTGGTTTGATATTTTCTTAATCTGATTTATATGCAGATGAACTGTGAGAAGACTCAACAATATAGTTAGAAACAGAACACATAGACAGCCATGGCGGTAAGCATCTATATTGCAGAGGTCTAATTCTCTAATGATGCAATGTCAATTAATTTATGATTAATGACGATTTCTGTAATGATTTTCAATTTCTTCACTTTTTGCATCCATAAGATGAAACTGTAGATTTGAAATGGCCTTTTCAACTTGAGAAGAAACATTCGTTACAGGCAGTTTTTTGACAAAAAAATGTAATTTTGAATGTAAGAATGTTTTTATATTTTTGGCAATTAAGGGATAAAAACAACATTTTAATTACATTACAAGTAAAAGTTTTTAACGTTTTAAGATTTTAATGTAAGCATTTCTTCCATTTATTTTAAAATTGATTGTTCTTCTATAAAATGAAAAAATGGAAATCTTTCTTTCCCTCAAATTAACTTTTTTCATGAAACAAAAACTTAATTAAATTGATTTATCATTAAATAAACCAGAATAAAACCAGATTTTAAAAAACATATCAGAGAAAACAAAAAAAGACCAAAGGCTTTAAAATAAACCAGATTTAAACCAGATTTTCTGAAAATAAACCAAAACAAAAGTTCCGAACCAAACGATAAAAAAACAAACCAGATTTGAGAAATCTGGCTTAAAAAAACACCAGATGGCAACCCTGGTTATAACTTATACTCTGAATAATCAAGCAGAATAAGATGACCTTTCAATCTCCGATGCCGAAAGAGGTATTTACTATTGAAATAATATTAACAAATGACGTAGATTGTATGAAAATCTTTTACGATTTTTGCCGCTTGACGCAGTTTTATGAAGATTTTTTATTCATTAAAAACAAATTTTCATAAAAACAAATTTTCATAAAAATTGAAAAAAATATTTTTTTTGTATTGATATAAACATAAATTGCTAATAATCGACGAGCATACCAATACTTCTTTTTGAAAATAAAGTAAAACCAATAAAAGAAAAATATTTAAACGAAAATCTTCACAAAAATTATTTTTGAAGATAAAAAAAATTCAAAGGAAAAATTTTACTCAAAACGAATAAAAAAACTCAAGCGGTCATGTTAAAAAAAGCATGTGATTTTATGAAAGAAATAGCTTGTATTGCTGAAAAATCAGAAAGTTTAACGGCTAAATAGACTGATAAATTAAAAACAGCTAAAAAATTCTATTCTCTTCAAAAGGGTCTCTAAATTTGCAAATGGTCCCCCAAAGTTCACGTCCTTCCCCCTACTTTATCCACCATTAGATAATAAATACCACTTAATGGTGTATGGTAAAATAGTTCGTTGCGTATCTTTACGATAAAATGACTTAATGCGTTAAAAAACGCAGCCAGTTATTTTACCGTACAACATTAGGTGGTATTATTACCCATAGACTGTATGATTTTACTATATTACATGTAAAATAGAGATCATTATAGCTTTTTTTTTAATATAAGCAGTTATAAAAATACATAGTCTATATATATTTCTATAGATGTCGCTGTTTCTTTTTTTATCATTTGTTAAACTTGTTAAAGGTAAATTCAAAAATAAACAAACCCAGCGAACCGTAGTACTATCAAGATTAATAAGTTATAAAGATAAGTTACGAAATCTTTACCATCGTCAGAAACACGCAATGCGTTTAATATGTTTCGAAAATCGTTTTTCTCATTCAAATATTTTATTTAAAAACGTTAAAGCACTTAACGTTTACGAACTCAATGTCTATAATATTTTATGTTTTATGTTTCGTTGTAAAAGTGAACGACCATTGTCCAATTTCAAAGATCTTTTTACTTATAAAGCTATAAACAAATATGCTTTACGAAATAATAATTTATTAATTGAACCCTTTTGTCAAACAAAGTTTAATCAATTTTGCATAAACTATAGAGCACCGTATTTATGGAACAAAATTGTTGTTCCAAATTTTGATTTGTCAATTTCGTTTTCCGTTTTTAAAACTAAATTAAAAAACTATATTCTTTCTACTGGCAATATATATAAATATTTTTGAAATGTAAAATTCTTTTTTTTTTTACTCTGGATAATTTGTAAAATTATTTTCAGTTTTTGTTTCTTCTACATTGTTATTAGTTATTTGATCAATTGTATTTTATTTTATTATATATACACGTATTATATCTTTTATATGGTTCTGGCGACAAGATCATTTGGATCTTCTTTCAGATACCAAGTTTATATATTGTTATATTACGATTAATAATTGTAACCTTTAAAGATAAATTTCTTTGTTCAAGAAACCATTCAGCTGGTGAGAGCGCCCTCTATCCACCATTATAGGCGGACAGAACGATCATCTAAATCAACTAAAGACTGCAAGCCTCTAGTTGATTAGCATCACGCTCAGGCGCTGTCACAACAGCTCATCATCATGGTTCGGTGGGTTGTCTTTGTAGAATTACAATGACAGGACGCATACTATAGAAATGATCCTAGTTAGTACGGTCTTGACTTTAATAAAGAAATTTTAAGTTACCTTTATTTTTAAGTTGTGTTTTAATTGTGGGTTTCTAATAAAATATTATTAATCCCTTTAAAATCTTTGCTTTACATTTGCATAGTTTAAATGTTTATTTTTGTTCGCATTCTATTAAGTTTAAAATGTAAGCTTTATATAATCCTATTGTTTGGTTACAAAGTATACAATTCAAAACGTAATTTTAAAATTTAGCCATTATTATTTTATTTTTTTTAAAGATTTCTACAAAAAAATTAATATAAATATAAAACTAATTTATCTAATGTAATAAAAAAGGGCTACATTTATTTCAATATAATGTTGACAATAGGGGAGAAAAAGACAGCTTTAGAAAAATAGCTTTAGAAAAATGAAACGTTTCTTGTATTTAAATGATTTGTTTGCTTTTGAGGACTAATCGTAAGCAACTTAGTATAAAGTTGTAAGACTTTCCTGAGCCCTTTTTTAACAAATAATTAGTTTTAATATATTTATTAAATACAAAAACTCATAACATTTATAATTAACCAGAAAATATCAAGAATCCAAAATATTTTGGTTGGAAAAACAATCAGTAATTCTTTGTGGTGTCAGGTCAGTTAGGAGCATTTTGAATGCACACTTTGAGCATCTTAGATTTTTAAATTTCTCTCAAAACAAGATTTCGTTATTGCGTTTTAGTAGCTGTTTATATGAATCGGGCTGGCTCAGTGAACCAGGTCGACTAAAAAAGTAATGGTTTAGGACTTAAAAAAATAAATGTTTATTTTGTAACTTTTTAAAGTTCCAACTTTAATTTTAAATTTCTTCAATTTTTTCCCAATTTTAAAGTTCCAATTCCACTTTTTAAAGTTCAAATTTCAATTAAAATTGAAATTTGAAATACGATTTTTTAAAGAATCTATTTGGTTGTTTTAAAAACAACCGAAAATGTTATTGATTGGATAAAAGAATTAGCGTTATTTATTTTATTCAGTCAACTACATTAAATGGCCAGGCTGATTCACTTGTTCGTATTTATATGGAAAAAATTTGTCTCACCTGAGTGGGATCCAATGATATATTATGAATAACTAAATCTAACTGAAGCCAAAATCGGCTATTATGGAAAGGGGTGGGGGAGAGAGAGCAAAGTCTTTACGCCATTTATCAAAAACAAACACTTTCAATATATATAAACAAATTTCAAAATTAATTTAGTGGTTTAATACAATAAATCCATAGATATTTAATGATTTTTATGCTTATTTTTACGATATTTTTATTTTGAAAAATTCAATTATTATTAGATAACTTTTTTTTTTTTTTTTTGTAAATTGGTTTATTTTTATTCATTTATCATGCAGTATTTTTTTTATTTATTTACCATGCAGTATCATGCAGATTAAACAAACAAAAACATACATTGTATCATGCAGTGTGTGATTTTAACATAAGGTTTTATAGGACTATAACCTTACCTTAACATTTTATGTACATGTTAGTCATTAATTACCTTCTGCAGTAATACTTGGAGGTATCATGACATAAATGGAAGGTAAACAGTTTTAAAACTTACAATGGTTTCATGCAGTATTTTTTTTATTCATTTACCATGCAGTATCATGCAGATTAAACAAGCAAAAGTATACATTGTATCATGCAGTGTGTGATTTTAACATAAGGTTTTATAGGACTATAACCTTACGTTAACATTTTATGTACATGTTAGACATTAATTACCCTCTGCAGTAATACTTGGAGGTATCATGACATAAATCCAAGGTAAACAGTTTTAAAACTTACAATGGTTTAATAGACCATCGTATGAAGTTGTCTTGATTATAACCTAAGCTCTGTGTAACCAGGGCCGGGTTAAGTACTTCTCGGCCTCTCGGCACTTTCTGGCCCCTGTTGGCCTCCTAGTATTCAAATTTAACCGCGGTTTAAAATTTAAAAAATTTTGTAATTGTTGCGCTATGTATTTATGTATTTTTTTTTTTTTTTTTGTATTTAAACAAGCATCTCGCGTTATTTATTATTAAAAACACGCTGCGATTAGTATAGGTTTTAAAACACCTCTAGTCTGTATTTTAAGCTTGCAAATGCAGATATGATATCTTTTAGGTCCAATATCCGGTTTTCTATATGAACAATAAAAAGATCTGAAAGTCGTTCTTGAAAATAAGCTCAAAAATGAAGACATTCGTTCAATAAGTGAAAGTTAAGATCAGAAAGAAATCGGTCAACAAGTTTTTGTGCACTGCAACTAATCTCTGTTGTCTAATGTCTGTTTATTATTTATACATTTGTAATTGTAATATATTTTTTGTGAAAGAGTACTGTAATTTATATAAACAGCAAAAAAAAATTAAAAAAAAAAAAAATCTCCGAGATATCCATGCTCCGGACATTTACAAGAAAACCAAACAAAGTATTCAATCCAGAATAGACTTTCCTTCATTTACCTAGATCACTCACTAGTTTGTCTGTGGTCTTATTAACTTCACTTAAGAAATCATTTAAGATTGCCCAGAAAACACTGTAGTTTCCACACTGTTAATTTCATCATCGTAATGCCTCTTGCGTGCTCTTGGGAGTCTTTGAACATAGAACTTGATCGTGTTGACCTAAGACACGGTTTCCTTTTCATATTGCTCGAAAATGGAGCGAACTTGCGGCACGTCATGCTCCAGGGAGTTGTACAGTTCTTCAATCATACCTAAATCAAGCTTTATGAACTGCAGTTTCTTGCTAATTTTGTTGCAACTTTCCATAATTCTGTTCCGAATGATTATTAAAAAAGCTGTCTCAAGTTGTTTCATTTTGGTCAATAGTCCGATGACCTCTGTTCTTGGTTTTGATTTCTAATCGTCGTATCATCACAAATAAAATATGTTTTTATTCAATCTTCTAAAAAATTCTTAATCACCTTGTAAATAGAATAAAACTTTTCAATGATTAAACAAGCATCAGCACGTGATGACCAACGAGTTTGTTAGAAAGTCTAGGGAACCTTGACACGTAATCCAGCAAGGAACTTTGACTTTAAGATGCGTTGGTGCAAGGAACTTTACTTTAAGACATCGATGTGTTGATGCAGAAAAGAAGTTATAAATTTCTTGAAGAAAGCTGAAAAAATTAACAGCAGCTCCGTTGGATTCCGCAGCTTTCACTCTTATGAGGTTCAAATAGTGAGCAGCGCATGGAATTTATTCGATGGGAACGTTGACCTCTTTAATTCTTGTTTCTAAACCAAATTAGATTCCAGTCATATTACTGGCATTTTCGTATGACTGGCCACGTCAATTTTGAATGTTGATTGCATACTAATCTAACTTTTTCAAAAAGAATTCCATAAATTCCCTAACCTCGGCAACTAATAAATGTATGAGTTCTTCGCAAATGTCTTTAGATAAGTACACAGTACAACCCTTTTCTTTGTTTCCATAAGTTATCAAGTATTGGGAGAGAAAAGGATTAAATTAATTTTTTTACCATTATAATCTTTAAATTATTTTCGAGTTTCTTTTTTCACAACTCGGAAGTTCTTTCAAGTCCTTTAAAAAATAAAATGTCCAGTTTGTGATACATCGTATGCAAAGTTAAAAAATCTCTGTGACATAAGAGGAAGTCAAGAATAGAGGCCGATAATAATTTTCTTTTAAGTTATATATCTCTAAAAAGTTCACTCTGATATTTTGGCCCCTTGAACTCAGTGGCCTCCCGGCACGTGTCCAGTGTGTCTACTGATTAAACCGACGCTGTGTGTAACGCAACTTAGAGGTTCTTTCTAGAAATGTTTTATTACTATTTACTCTTATGTCAAACTATTTTTTTAAAACAAACAAATCTCTGTAAACAAAGCAAGCAAAGCTCTGTAAATAAAGCAAGCAAAGCTCTGTAAGCAAAGCTCTGCAAATAATGCTCTATAAACAATTAATACAGTAACTGTACTAATTTTAAGGCTAGAAAAATTATTGTTGAGTTTATTTTAGTTTCGTAATTTTAGAAAACTTAAAGCTGTCTATGAAAAAATGGTTAAAAACCTTTTAAAACAATAAAGACAATAATTTGTATAAGGACTTATTTACAAACAATTAGTTACTTTTAATATATCATAACTATGAACACTTTCAAAAAAAAACAATTATTTAAAATGAGAACAGCAATTGAAAAAAAAATTAACAAATATTAAAACAAATATCTTGATTTCATATGGTATATTTTATTCAACAATAGTGTGTTATACATTTTATATTTACTAAATATAATATAATATATATATACATATATATATGTATGTATATATATATATACATATATATATATATATATATATATATATATATATATATATATATATATATATATATATATATATATATATATATATATATATATATAATATATATATATATATATACAATTTTAAAGTTTATTTTTTTATATTATATTTTTTATTTTTTATTTACTTGTTCAGTTTTATAAGTCTTTAAATTTAATTAATTTTTTTATAGTTGCCGTAGGCCATCCATAGGTTTTTTTTAGCAGAAATTTATACAAAGCCCTATTATCGTTTTTTATAGCTCTATTTGAACAACCGAAAAAGCAGCAGAAGAATTAACCATGATTTATAACTTTTAGATATTAGATTTATTTGATAAATCTAATATCTAAAAGTTATAAATCATGGTTAACTAAAACTACCGCGATTTATTATATAGTAAACTTGCCCCATAAGTGGCCTACTTCGGCTTTCAAAAAATTGCGGAAGTTAGATCAGAGAGTTCGAAATTTCGAGGTTTTGACTTTAAAAAAGTTGCGGAAGTTAGATATTTAGTTATTCTTAAAATATAATTGGTAGGATTCCACTAAAATTAGACGAGATCATGTAAACATGTAGTTAATTATTAAACATGCAATATATATTTATTAAGATATTATAATTATTAAGATACAAATAATGCTGTTCTCCAAGTATTAAATGGCTTTATAAAGCAGAACTAAGT